AGGCCATTCTGTGGACCCTCCGGGGGTAAGTGGAGGAGTAGCTGACCCTCCTGGATGCCAGCGTGCCCCGCCGCATCTGGCGTCTGGACACCAGCAGCAACTGGTGGGACCGCATCATCGTTGAGCGCTGGGGAGTCCAACAGTGGACCCAGAATTTCAGGATGAAGAAAGACACCTTCCTGGAGCGCTGAGAGTGGCTCACCCCTGCTCCACGGTGACAGGACACTCACATGAGTCGGGAACCAGTTCAGCTTGGAGAAATCCACCATCGGAGCAGTGCTCATGCAAGTATGGCACCCACCGGTCACTGGGCCGGGGAGGAGGGGGGCTGCAAGGAGGGGATGGGCCGCCCCAGGGAAAACGGGGTGGGGGAGAAGGCGAAAGTGCCCCACGTGGGAGGGTTCGATCTGTCGTGACTGTACTACACACCGCCCGCGGTGGCCACGATTGCAGTGGGGGTTGCTTCTGGGAGTGGGGTGCAGGGCAGTGCCAGGGAACAAACACTCCCAACCACCCGGGTGCCCCGCTGATTTGCGGTTTGGTGTGTCTCCCTGCAGGTGGTCAAGGCCATCAACCGGGTGCTGCTCCACAGGGTGGTCTGCCTCGCCAACGCGGTCATCCAGGGTTCGGCGCCCTCGGCTTCCCCAACTGCGGGGGGGGCCATCAATGGGATGCACATCCCCATCCGTGCCCTGGAATACCAGGCCTCCCAGTACATCAACTGCAAGGGGTACTTCTCCGTCCTCCTGCAGGCCGTGTCTGACCACCGGGGCCAGTTCATGGACATTAATGTGGGCTGGTCCGGCAAGGCACACGACGCCAGGGTGTTCCACAACTACGTGTGCCAGAGGCTGCATGCCGGGACCTTCTTCCCTGACCGCCACATCAGGGTCGGGGACGTGGACATGCCCATCTGCCTAGTGGGGGATGCGGCCTACCCCCTACATCCCTGGCTGATGAAGCCGTACACAGGGCACCTCAACCCCTCCCAGAAGGCCTTCAATGCCAGGCTCACCAGGGTCCGCATTGTGGTCGAGGGGGCCTTCGGACACTTGAAAGCCCGATTTAGGTGCCTCCTCACCTGCCTCAACCTCGCCGAGCACAATATCCCTCCCGTGGTGGCAGCATGTTGTGTGCTGCACAATTTATGCGAATGGAAGGGGGAGGCTTTCCTGCCAGCGTGGATGGCTGAGGCTGAGCGCATGGTTGGCCAGTACTTGCAGCCCCGCACCGCCCCCG